GAGAGAGAGAGAGAGAGAGAGAGAGAGAGAGAGAGAAATCTGGAGCAAATTTGTATTTTAATTAGGAATGGCATAATACATGAAAATTCTTTGTATCATACAAAGCCATGTATTATACATATGTTTTATTGCCCCCATCCTTAATTTTAATAAACCTTTTTCTCCAATTATTTAGACTTAACGAAAAATAAGTTAAAACAATTTTAGGCATAATCGCCGTATTATTTATATGTAAGTTATGTAATAAACAATAAAATATGTTATTTATATAATTATTAAAATATAAATTAATAAATAAGAGAAAATTCAATTAACTCTTCTTTCTGTTTGAGGAAAAAAGCATTTTTGGTTACAATTGTATTATTTGTAAAGAAGTAATGATTTGTAAAATTTAAACAATTTTTATCATAAATATGCGGCAATTATATGGAAAAAAACAAAATGATTACTTAAATAATGAATTGTATTAAAAATTGTTTTATTCCTGATCTTTAAATCTCTTAAATATATTAAATGTTGAGAAAAAACATGTAAAGAATGCATGAGTTTTATTAATAAGGCGTTTGTGTTCAGAGGCTATGAAGTGCTACTTAAATGAGAGGGAAATATATATCGTATAAATCATTATTTAAATTTGTAATCTTTCTTACGTACACTGTATTAATAATTTTGGTCTAAACATAATATTTATTATAAATTACACGTCATATAAAAGTCGTGTAATGCCTGTCTGGCCAGTGCTCACAAGTCAGTTATAAATGCTTTTAATTATAGCAAAACATACACACTGTATATATTTAGCCATCCATTGCCCCAATAATATTGTCAAATATAATCCTTTCGTACATTTAAATTGAACCAAATTATAGCTTGAAATCAACTTTTTCTTATTTTTTGCATTTAAATGAAATAAATATTTTTAAAATATATATTGATTTGACTTCATTTGCAAGCATTGCCTCAGAAGTAATCAAAGTGTCAAATGATTTTCTTTCAAACACTTCTCGAGTCTCTGTTTTTCATTCAAACAGTATTTTAATGAAAATTATGAAAAACCCCTTTCGGTTCACCAAAAATCAAGAAAATATACCCGATTTTCAAGATGTATACACACTATAAATATATGGCACTATATATTATACGGTGTACTCTATATATTTGTCATAAAAATAATCTTCATTAGAAAATTAATGATCATTTCCTTCATTAAAATCTCCGGCACTTATCATAATCTCCAATAAATTTTCATTAAATTTTAATTTGAAACATTAAATTACATCAAAAAGCATGAGATTATAAGCAATGTTTGCAATAAAGTCTCAAAAAAGGCATTTAAAATTCATGAGTGGTTTTCATAAAAATGTGTTTTTAAAAAAATTGTGTTAAATTATGATTTGGGGTTTTGTAATGAATTTCCGGTGAAAGTTGTTTTCCTTAATCAATGATTGCATGAAATTATATTAATTTGAAATTAAATGTTTAAATGTTATAAATACATTTAAATTAAATTTGATACTTTTTATTAGGTTTACATTAACATTAAAATAAACTCATTTTCATAATAATATGCAAAATGATTAACAAAATTATGTATTCTTTGACAAAGAAAATAGTCTCACAATTAAAAGACACCAAAACGTCAAAAAATAAATAAATTTTAAATAATGTGCAAAATATGTGTTTTTACACTACAATTAACACAATATGATTACGAAATATCCTTTCTTATCTGCTTATAATTATAATTAACTAAAAAAAATATTATCATAAAGTAGTGAAGTAAAGATCGAGCAAACGATTCACACATTCTGTACTAAATAATAAGCTAAAAGTGCTTTTAAGTATATTTTCCACTATTTTGCAATACATTTGTCTCAAATTTAAACTTTTTTCTAATATTTGGGTTAAAATTATAGTTAATATTTCATACAATTTTGTCGATTGGATATTTATAGATACTGTAGATTGATATTCAAATGATTGCATAACAAACTTGCATTACATTTAAATACAAGTGTTTGGGTGTCTAATGATAAATGATGTGAAATAGTGTGCAAATTATTTCTAATACACAAACCCTTTGATAAGCGCTTATCATTGCATTTAGTGAATGATATTTTTTTCACGATTCAATACATTTTTTCATACCCTATATATCATTACATTATTTGCCTTTTGAATTAATTTTCCTCTCCAGCTATTGGTTTGTCTCTGATATCAATATATGTGAAAATGAATATCATTTCATATATGCAATAATATTGTCATTAAGATTTGGTATGAAATACATTGAATTCAATTTATTATATTATTTATTAGTTTGAATTGAAATCCAAATGTCCAGGGATTGGTTGTGTGACACAAATCAATGAAATGTTCATTAAATATAATTATAATTTACTAGTTTTTATATTTTTGTTTTCATTTGAAAACATTTATATATGTTTTACGGATTTAATGAATTTTGCAAAACGAGTCAATATTTATTTCCATTTCAGTGTATATTATATTTTAAATTACAATTTCGCTTAACTTTAGGGCAATTTTCGTCTGGGATTTAGTAATCAATTGCTTTCAAACCATATTCCAGTTGAAGACCGATTTAAATCTCCCTCTCTCCCTCTCCTGAATGGTAATCAAGAATCATGTTTAGCACCAAAAGAGAAAAATATATTACGAAATACGATTGCTTTCACTAACGAGTGAGTGATTTGCGATTAGTTTGTATTTATAGTTCAAGTGAAACATTCAATTTGACATTCATTTCATTGTTGACTATAATAACGGAATCACACATTATTTTGGCCCAAAAAAGCAGAATCTAATTCATCATCACTTCTCAAAACAATTTTAATCTGTTTTTTGTTTTATTATTTTACTTTTTTGTTTGTTTCTTGTCTTCCCTGTGATATCAAATACTTTTGAAAATATATGAGAGAAAAAAATTATTTAAAATAATAAACAAGATTTTAATTCAACACAAAAAAATTGTATAAAATATATGAGAAATATATATTGGAGGCAATACACAGTGGGGTCGATCAAGATAATAGTGGCAAACCATGCGCTATACTATAGCTATGGTAGTACTGGAGTGGAAAGGGTACACACATTATAAGCACAGGTATTATATCATAAGCTAAGTCTAATACTGGGACTACTTTGCGATGCACTTCACGCTTAGGCTAACATGTCTTGCGGGCCAACAGCCGGAGTCCCCGCGCGGGTCACAGCTTAACGACAATACATACAGAGAGCGTACATAAGATCGTAAACACTGTTTATATGTGTTATTATATATACACAGAAACAGAGACTGGGATTGAGGAGAAAACGAGTGAATGATTAGCACATCCAGTGGTATAGAAAAGCAGAGCAGAGCAGTGGCTGAAGAGTTGCACCCATAGTATAGTATAGTATAGTTTGTGAGAAGAAATTCGTGCATTAAATTGGCGTTTAGAAGACAACCTGTTTCTCTCTCTCTCTCTCTCTCTCTCTCTCTCTCTTCACAACCGATGCTTATATAACACATAGAAATACATTATATTTATATTCTCTCTCTCTCTCTCTCTCTCTCTCTCTCTCTCCATTCAATATCACCACAAATGGGTTTGACATAAACACAGTGCTCACAACACTATAATACCCGTTACACTCAACTCTCAGTTAGTGAACACCACATAAGTTATATATATTTGTGTACGGATTCTGTCAGTCGTAAGAGTGTGTGGTGTCTATCATATGATTTTCATTTGAGTATTAGTGCTATCCGTTTACGTAAGAACTCCGACACAAAACTTTTTCTCCAAAACTGCATCTCAAACAACATTTACAGTAATATTCTTCAAGTCATGTGTTGTTTGTTAAACAGTGTTTGACTTTTGTTTTGTTAAAGAAATCCTATTATACGCAACACTTATATATGTTTATAATAAAAAACCATTTAGTCGTTTAGTATAAAGTCGTTGAGGTTTTGTTTCTTTGCTTTTTTGTATTTGTTTTAACTTTTTGTTCTTAGTTTTTGTATTATATTTTTTGTTTTGTTGCTTTTGCTTTTGTTTTATAATTTAGTTTTTGTTATTATTCCGCTATATTCTCTGCTAATGACTATTAAGCGCTACTTTATATTAAATTAGTGTTTTGTGTTAAAAATATTTTTAGTGAATATATTTTTGGCTCAAATTCCTAATTAAGGAAAATCTTTAATAGAAAATATTGACTCAATTGAGGAGTGGAAGCCTTCATAAGAATTATTATTATACTGTATATTATTTTCTTCAATATATTTTGCATTTAATCTTTCGCTACATTTTATATGTGCTCTAAATTTATTGAAAAACAGTTTTATAGTTTATTAAAATCAAAAAATATTTGACTTAAATATTCAATTAAAAAACACTTTTTAATATTTTCTACATATTTGTAGCGAATTTTCCAAACGATTGATTTAAAAGAAAAGTTTTATTGTTGTTTGTTTTGAACGCAATTTGAAAGTCTGCCCAAACTAACAGTCCATATGCTATCGATCGATGTAATGAAGTTTATAATATTGTTATAAATATTAATTTTAATAATAATAATAATAACAATGAATGTAAATGTGAATATGAATTGTAAAAGTGATAACAGTATCAGTGATAGACAGTGCAGTAACTGCGGGACAACGAGTACCCCTCTATGGCGTAAATACGGATCGTGTCATTTCCTATGTAATATTCATCGCATAACTATTTAATATAATGTTTAGTTTTATAAGTGATTTCAATGAAATGATAAAATGTAATTTACAGGCAATGCGTGCGGACTATACTATAGAGTAAACGGCGACCATCGGCCGCATGTGAGCAAAATCTCTCGGGTGTCGACACTTCGCAAAAGTTTTCTCCATTGCGCTAATTGTGGCACAAATAAGACAACGATGTGGAGGAGGGATGCGGGAGGCGTTCACGTCTGCAATGCTTGCGGTCTCTTCTTTCGCATCAATGGCTTCAACCGGTAATCCATTCATTATTATCTCATCTATTTTCACACTTTGTTTGATAGACTTTTAGTCATAACTTTTTTGTTATTTGTTTCTTTGGTTTGTTTGCTATTTATGTTTGTTTTTATTCTTAACATATATTTTACACTTTAAGCGCCCGAAAGTGCAATTCTGTTATGAATTAACGTTATTTTGTGTTTTGTCTGACTGTCACACAAAGAATGACAGATTTGTAAATAATTGTCTTTTCATTTTTGTTATATATTTACATAAATTTTTATTTTTCACTTACATTTCGTTTTCGACGTTTTCAGTTCATTAATTTTGGTATAGAAATAGTTGATCACATATTTATTTTATAAATTAATACATTTTTGTATTCAATTTACTATTAAATTTTTTCTATACAAAAGAAATCAATCATTTCTTTCGTGTAGAAAAATATAGAGAAAGAAGTTTTTATAAATTTCAAATACATTATTCAAAAGTTTTTATTAATTCATTAACAGTTTTACATTGAGTGATGATTTTGAGCCGATTTTATATTCATATAAATATAAAATTATTTAAAATAACCTTTTATTACAATTTTAATGATTAAAAAGTGGAGAAATTCAAAAAGTTTGGCGACATTTACAGTCAATTTAAATCAAATCAATCAATTAATGTGTTAAACACTTCCTCCCAAACCATATATGAGGCCATAATGTATTAAATAGTAAATTTAATTAGTTATAAATTATAATCCCTTTTCCTATAGACCGGTGTCTATGAGAAGAGATGTGATTCGGACCCGAAAACGACGCGAAAAGGATTTAATGCAATCCTCGCCGGAGGAGAGCGGACTCAACCCCAACGGCCCGCCGGGTCTGGACTTGTCATCCATAGAGCTCTCATCGCTGAGCGCCGATCCGCACATCAAACTGGAGTCCGATAGGGATCTGACGTCGACATCATCGACACTGTCCTCTCCGTCCACCTCTTCATCGAACGAGTCGTGCAATTCATACAACTATA